CGCGCCTGCCGCGCCAGGCCCACGAAGCAACCAGGCCGAGGCTGGTCCGCGGCGCGCGCCGGCGACGCCCAAGTCCTGGACCATCCACGACTTTGACATTGGCCGCGAGCTCGGGCGTGGCCGCTTTGGTACGACGCAGGCGCCGCCTCGCGCGTTGCTCACGTGGCTTCTAGGCCAAGTGTTTCTGGCCCGCGAAAAGTCGTCGCGCAAGATCTTGGCCATCAAGATCCTCACCAAGGAGCAGCTTCACGTACAAGCCTTCTATGGGCGCGTGCATCTCATGATCATGTCGATGTAGTTGGGCGGCGTCGTGCAGCAGCTCAAGCGCGAGGTTGAGATCCACTCGCGCATTCGCCACCCGCACATTCTACCGTTGTACGCGACGTTCCAAGACGACTCGAAAGGTAGGCGTCTCTGCGCCCGAATTCGTTGAGGGTCACGGTGGGACTCTAGTGTACCTCGTCCTCAAGTACGCACCCCACGGCGACCTCTTCACACGCCTCAAGAACGCGCCGTGCGGCCGGTAACACTCTTTATACATGCTGCATGGCCGTCCACACGAACCTGCTGTACATGCTAGGCTCGACGAGCGCGCGGCAGCCCGCGTGATGGCCCAGCTCATTAGGTAGACATGCCTCGTCCCAGTAGGAGCGGAGGCAAGCACATGGACATAGCGCGATCCACACGTGCCACCAGCACAACGTGGTGCACCGCGATATCAAGCCCGAAAACATCCTCCTCGGCGCCGAGGTCTGCCTTTGCGATTTGATTTGATTGGCGCCATAAGATCTGACGCCGGGAGAAATAGGAAGAAGTGCTTTTGGCCGACTTTGGCTGGTCGGCGGCCAACGTGACGGCATCGTACCTCCAAATCTTGGCGTGCGTCCTCGAATCTTATCGTGTTTGATAGCAATCGCCGCGAGACGCTCTGCGGCACGCTCGATTACCTCTCGCCCGAGATGCTCAACGTACGTACTTTTCCCGTTGAAAATCCCGCTCACCTTGGCTGTAGGGACAAAAATACGATGCGTCTGTGGATATTTGGGCCATTGGCGTGCTCCTCTTTGAGCTCCTCGTCGGCAAACCCGCGTTCGAGTCCCACGTACTATTACCTTTCCTTCCAGCTCCCTTCAAACGCGATATTGACGAACGCGATACTTGATATATAGGACCAAAGCCAGACGTCGGAGCTCATTTTAAACGCACGGTACCGCATCCCGCTCTTTGTGTCGCGGGAGGCCAAGGACCTCATCCGCCGGGTACGATGCGTGGTCGGGGCCCATTTTTTTCTGAAAACCCGGTGGTTAGTTTTTGAAGAAGGACCCGGCCGACCGCATCACGCTGGCCGAAGCCATCGAGCACCCGTGGCTCCAGCGCTACAGCCAAGAGCGTGCGCGCACGCCGTCGGCGGCGTCGCCCAAGCCGAGTGCGCGGCAGCCGCGATCGTCGTCGTCGTCGGTTGCGTCGTCCCGGGCCTAAAAAGGTCGGCATCCCAAGCTCGAAAAAGCAGTGTACCTATCTTGTATTGCAAGGATCTATTACATTTCATTCTGTTCCATGTCTGCTTCATCGCGGGTAGGACAGGATGGGTCTCGAGGCTTCTGTCTGCAGCGAGACCATAGTATCGAAGAGCCTCTCGGTCACGTGCGACACTCGAGGCGTAGCCGTATGGAGCTGTCGACTCGCTCGCTCGTCGTACTCGACGTTGGCGAGCCCGCGTGCCCCAGTCAGGGGTCCAGTTCCCTACTAGTACATGACATGATGACGCATACGCACCGAGCTGTAGAACAAACCAGCACCACGCGATGTACTCTATCACGGGCTGAAGCGAATACCCTGACACTGATGCTGAGGTTGAGATTGAGGTTGAGGTTGAGGTTGACATGGTTGTACTCCATCGGCGCACTACAACCGAAACACCGCGCACGCGACAGACTCTATATACCTCTGACGGTTCAGTGTGCCATTGCAAGGGTCTGTCGACAGTGTGTATGCTTTTTCATCGACTGCAACTGGGAGGCGTTGCGACGACAAGTTGTACAATGTACTGCTGAGAGAGCTCACTAGCGTCCTATGAAATGCACCGTTGACAGTATTAGTGTGCCGTCGACCACAGGTCGTACACAGGCACGCAGCAGCATCCAAACGAGTTTGCTTGCGGCAAACCAAGGTGCGATGACGCAGTGTCCGCTGACGAACCTACACGCTATGATGCGTCAACAGCCACGCCCAAGTGTTGCCTCGTCGTGTTGCCAGAGGCTGCCAACCAATGCAAGATCGGCCGCAGCATGCATCTAGGGTTCGGGTGTGACGTCACACCTCTGACAACACATGCATGGCCGGTGCCGCCAGCGAACGCACAGCGACCTCCGCGATGCGATCCCTCAATTCCATGTCATGCGCGTGTTTTCTGTCAACTTGGAGATGCGCATCTTCCTGCACAAGCCTCTAGGAAGCCTCTGGCCACGTGCATCCCAACTTGTGGCCGAAAACCTCCCACATTCGATTTGTCGATGGTATCCGGATTGTATTTACCGGATGCCAACGGCGATCTGCGAGCAGGGCCGGCAGTTTGGAAACTTCATCAGCATGCTCTCGCCTGCCCAGATCACGTACGTCCAGTACGCCGTGCAAGCGGTCGGCGTCGCCGTCGTCGCCAAGGTCGCGCTCACGTTCCTCGGCGGCTTCTACGCGAGCTTTCTCCGCGGTGGCAAGAAGCTCACCAAGTACGGCAAGTGGGCCATCGTGACGGGTGCCACGGACGGCATTGGCAAGGCCACGGCCATCGAGCTCGCGCGCAAGGGCCTCAACGTTGCGCTCATCAGCCGCACGCAGTCCAAGCTCGACGAGGTCGCCGCCGAGATCCTCGCCAAGAACAACAGCGTGCAGGTCAAGACGCTCGCGCTCGACTGCAACACCCTCGACGAGGCCGCGTGCGCCAAGGTCCGGACGCTTCTCGCCGAGATTGGCGACGTTGGCGTCCTCATCAACAACGTGGGCATGTCGTACGACTTTCCTCAGTACTACCACGAGCTTTCGGACGAGGCCGCGCGCAACCTCATCACGATGAACATTACGTCGACGTTTGTTATGACCAAGCTCGTGCTCCCCGGCATGGTCGAACGCAAGCGTGGCGCGATCGTCAACTGCAGCTCGGGCTCGGCGCGCATCCCATGCCCGCTCCTCGCCGAGTACTCGGCCGCCAAGAAGTGCATTGAGCAGTACACGCTCGGCCTTGCCGGCGAGTACGCGTCCAAGACATCCATATCCAGTGCCAGACGCCCATGTTTGTCACGTCCAAGCTCTCGAAGATCCGCCATGCGTCCTTTATGGTTCCGTCGCCGTCGACGTACGCCAAGGTAATCCATTCCTCGTGTCTGCAGTACGACTCATCGTGCTCGTCGCGGCGTAGGCGGCGGTCGCCAACATTGGCTACGAGACGCTCACGTCGCCCTACTGGCCGCACGCGCTCCAGCTGTACATCTTCAGCCTCTTCCCCGACTTTATCGTCTCCAAGGTACGACACTCGTCCTCTCCTCCTGCCGCCCATCTCACGCTTCCTTTATAGCTCGCGCTTTCGAGCCACTTGGGCCTCCGCGCGCGTGCGCTCAAGAAGCAGCAGCAGAAGAAGGACTAAATGTGCACGTAATACAATGCTGTCGAGTGCAATGTGGGTTGTCAAGAGGCCTCTTGGTGGTGGGCAGGAGCCCTCGTGCGGACAGGGCAGGGCCTTAACGACTGCAATTAAAGTCTCCTGCGTCTGCTCCGCGTGCTGCCTGCTCGGGTGCACTCTGGCGACAAAGGCTGAAGCGGCTCAACGCCGCTGGGTACTCGAGGTCAACCACCGGGCTAGCGGTGCTGCTGCTATAGGCACCAGAGCGCTCGTCGATGAGCCATGGCTCGACGCTTGAGCTCAGCTTGATGCACGACTACATTCCACGGTCTGCCAGTTCGCGCCAACTTTCTAGCGGTGTATCCGGACAGCTCTTTATATCCGGATATGGACGCGGATTCAAAAAATCTCTCGAGCCAGCCCGATGGCCGAGGCCCCGACGCCCAAGCTCATGGCGCTGAGCGACCTCAAGGCCGCCCATCGCCGCAGCCTCCATGCCATCGCCAGCATCGCGGAGGAAGAGATCGGCGCCATGGCCAAGACCGCGGCCGGCACGACCGCACCCGTCAAGAACCAGAGCGCGAAGGCGAGCTTGCTCCAGGCCAACGTCAACGAGATGTGCGCGGCGACGTACACGCATCTCTTCCGCCACTACTTTCCAACGTCTGGTAGACTCGATCGAAAGGATACCATGAGGATGCTACTGCAACGATAGACGCTGGCAAGGAGGCCAAGGCCGCGATCGACCCGACGCTGCTTGCCCGCATGCGCGAGCTCGAGGAGCAGATCAAGGCGACCGAAGAGTCGATCCAGGGCTACCGGACGCAACTGCCCATCAAAATCCGCGATATCGTTCAAACCGACTTTGACGCTAAGGCCAAGCTCACGGGCGTCAAGCGCAAGCTGCCAGACGTGGCCGCGACGCTCGTCGCGCCGACCCTCCCCGACCTCTCGGACGTCCAAGCCTCGTTCACGCAGGTTTCCTCTCCATGATGATGGCTCATCCACCTCATTCTGCATCGCTCTCGGTCGTGCGTAGACAGCTGCCAAGATCCACGAGCTCAAAAACACCTGCCCGTCACCATCCAAGAGGCCAGCGATACGATCCGCGTGGTGCGTGTCAACGCCCCGAGCGTCTTCTATCATCTTATTGACATAGATTGAGCATGCCATCAAGCGGCCGAAAGCCCATATCGACGTGCTCATGGAGGGCAGTTCCACGACGGTACCCACATGTACAAAGGCAAGTTGTTGTATTGAGAAATCGACTAGGCACCGACGCCGTCTTTGCGGGCGACAGTCGCGGCCATGCTGCAGCAGTCCTAATGGAGCTTGGCGAGGCGCTGCTTTTGGCGACTCCGAAACACGTCGTTGGTCGGACGCTTGGCCATGAGATTGACTAGACACAATATATAGCTTCTTGATACCTTCCAATATGATATATACACATACCTCCGCCGTCGTCGTCGTTCATCGCAGCAGCTGCGGCTTCCATTTGCTCGACCTCGGCGCGCGTCGGCAACTCGGTGAGCATCATCGCACGGTAGATGTGGTCCACGTCCGCGACCGGCCCTACATCCACGCCGTCCATGTCGTACCCCATGCGTCATCCATATGCGATCGACGCACCGTTCCACGTGACGCCCAACGGCAGCATGCTCGCAAACTCTTGGAGACACTCGGGCAGCGGCGGGCCCGTATACGGCCTACACATGTCCATATGTCCATACCGGCTCGTCGTGTCCATGCTGCCTACTTGTCGAGTTCCTTCATGACGTTGGGCTTGAGCGCCGCCGTCGACGACGACGCTGCCATCGGTGCTTTGCTGTGGCTCTCGACCGCATGGACATTGGCGTACGTTTGGAAGAAGAGCGGGTCCGTCGAGGATTCGAGCGCCGACATCCACTCGTACCGGTGCACGAGGCTCATCAACCCCTTGGCCTGGAGGTACGCGTGCGGCTCCTTGGCCAGCGCGTTCTGGAGCGCAATGGCGCGCCGGCCTTCGAGGCGCACGATCGACGCGAGGTCGCCGCCATTGGTCGCCATGGTCATTTCAAACGCAATGAATTTGTCCCACACCGGCTTGGCCACGTCGGCCGGCATGACACTCAGCACCTTCTCAAAGAGCGACCGCATGTCTACACATTTGAATATAGAAATCGTATCCGTCGCCGCAGTCCAAGAGATCTGTGCGTACTGTTGTCGTCGTTCGTGTGGCGCAGGAAATCCACGTACGAGAGCACAAACTCGGGTTCGTGAATGTACTTTTTCAGCCCGAGCTCGAAGATGTTGAGCGCAATCTGCTTGCCTTCGTTGCCGTTGGAGCTATGAAATTCGAGCAGCGCTAGTCGAAAATGAGGACAACTTGTCCAACACAAAACACATGTACCCGCCGCGGTAAACACGTGGTACGTGCACGCGCCGTCGCGCGAGTCCTTGCGTGCCCGCTTGAAGATGTGGCGCGCCTCTTCCAAGCCCTAGTGCGCGCGAATTGTATCAATGTATCAACGATGACCACGCAAATCGGACCTTGTTGCCGTACGCGCGGCGGGCAAAGCGCTGGTACGTGATGTACACGAGCGCCGACGGCACGGTCGCGAGCAGCTGCTCGTAAATCTCGCGGGCTCGCTACAATTCGTTGAAACCATGAAAAAGCAATGAAAAAGCAATACAAAAATGATGAAAAATGACGACGCACCTCGGTTTCGTTGTGCAGCTCAAAGTGATCCGCATACGCAAAGTGCAGCAAGCACGACTCGGGCATCGCGGCCACTGCGCGCGTGTAGATGCGCGAGACGGCTTCGGCGTCCGGCTGCTCGAGGAGGACGTACTGGTACCAGACTTCACAGCTGAATTGGCGGCACGCGAGACAGCTCTCGAGCGCGAAGCGGCACTTGGCCTTCCATTTCGCCGTGTCAACGCGCTCGGGGTTGGAGAGCTCAAACTCAATCCAGCGCTGCCACTCGTCAATCTACAAAAACGCGATGGCATACGATGATGCATAGAGACACATGTGTCTGTCTACCTGCGGGTTGGTGTCGACCTTGGACGGGAGCGCGTCGAGGTTGATGGCATCGACGAGCGCCTTGCGGTCCTTCAAGATCGTCTTGGCCGCGTCGATCTTGGGCCGCAGCGCCTTCATCATGTTTTGCATGAGCGCGTCGTTGTTGGGAATGGCCTTCTCGAAAAGCTCATAGTCCTTGAGGAGCGAGTCCGACCCGATCATGGGGATCACAAGCGCACGCTGGTAGCCCTTGCGCACGGTCATGAAGGCTTGAATGTCCTGTGGAGGTTCATGAGAGGACATCGTTGGATGGATGCATCGATCAAACCTTGTCTTCGCGCAAAAAGCCAATGTAGCTCTGCCAAATGCTGAGCGAGTAGATCGACTGGCCGACGCACTCGAGCGCGAGCTCATATGCTTCGAGCATGAGCTTGCGCGCGGCTTGCTGCTCTTCGATGGACCCAAAGTTGGTGTCGACCTTGGACGACTTGAGGAACGAGAGGTACATGGCCCAGAGGTCAATGTACGGCAGCTTGCGCTCGACGAGCGCGGTCGAAAAGATACCGCGGACCTTCTCGTACTGCCCGGCGCGGAGCTCGTGCTCGGCGAACGCTTTCCACCAATAGCCCTATCCATGGCGTCGTATCGGATGGTGGGTCAAGATGGTACGTACCGAGGTCGGGAAGCGCTCGAGGAGAGCTCGTAGTATGGCCGGGCGTCATCAATGGACGGAAGCTTCTGGACTTCGTTCATGACGCTCTGCCACGCATGCGCGTTCCATGGGCTCGCGGTCACGACCTCGTAGTTCTTGCGCAGCTTGGCCGACTTGCCCGCGAGGTTGAGGTGCGCCGAGGCGCCGACGAGGAGGCTCATCTCTTCGTCCTCTTCTTCTTCGTCGTCTCCATGGGCCATGCTCATCGAGGGCGCAGCGATCGGCTCATCTTCCTCGGAGCTGTCATCCGACAGGACGCGGCCGTCCATCCGCGTGCTCATGACCGCCACACTTGCAAGTTGTTATTGCGAAAACACTAATTCAACCCAATGCTAACAGTATATTGCAAAAAATGCGGCGTATTAAATAGTGTCATATTTACAGCTCTCAACACAAAAGGCTCCTTGGCGGCGCAGCAGGATACTGTTCGACATACCAAGATGCTGAGGCTCAGGATCCAAGCAAGCGAGGTCGCATGACATTTGCCCATGCCTGTGGTAGCATCACAAAGCCGTCACGTAGCAATAGTGTGACATTGGATATGGTGTGTGTTGGAAACCCTTTTAAAATGATATCGACAGGGCTATATATGATGTCAGAGGTTTCGATGGGAAATCTTTGCCCATACAAAACCCGAGTCGATTTGTTTCCCAAAACTCAAAAGAGACGATGGACCCCTTGGAACGTGAGGCGAGTAAGCTGCGAGCGCTGGTCGAGACCCCGAACGGGCCCGCGGCCTTGGCCGAGGCCACATCGCTCCTGCGTAACCTCAAGGTACGCCCTGCAGATGCAGGAACCCATGCGGCTCCATGGACATGCCTCATGCCCCATGCCACGGTAGATCGCAATGATCCAGCTTCCGAGCTTGCCACCGTCGACGACAGAATCCGCAGACGCAGCCCGCGAGCGCAAGCTGGCGCGTACGATGCATGAAGGCTGTACCATAGACGATGTACTTAGCTTGAGCGTAGGCGACGTTTTGGAGAGCGCGGCCATCATGAGCATCCACCAGGAGGACATGGCAGGCTTTGAGCGCAACATGACGCAGCTCAAGGTGTACTACAACTCGTATGGGTACGTGGTTTACGAAGAGTACCTGCAGTGGAGAGCTCATACTCGCGGCCGTAGCGCGCAACTGCCGGCGTCGACCCTCCAGTACCCGCTCATGGGCACGCGCCTCTTGCACTTGCTTGTGGAAAACCGCATGGCCGAGTTCCATGGCGAGGTGCATGCGCCCACCACAACGCAGTACGATCCTATCTTCCCACCTTGCGTAGCTCGAGATTCTGCCCGTGCTCGGCCGCACGGACCCGAACATTGCGTTTGCGATGCAACTCGAACAGTACCTCATGGAAGGCAGCTACAACAAGGTCCATCACCCACCGACCAGCATCGATCATGTGTGCTCATCTTGGCCTAGGTCCTAGAGGCGCGCACGAATGAGCCGAACCCGTATTTCAAGTTTTTCATGGCGCAGTTGCTTCAAACCGTCCGGTACCCGCTTCGAACCCCGTCTGCGATGTTATCTCATGCGCGGAAGGTAGCGATGCGATTGCCGACTGCGCCGAAGTCGCGTACGCGTCCCTGGATGTGGCCGATGCGGCCAAGATGATGATGTTTGCGTCGCCGCACGAGTTTGCGGCCTACGCGTCGACGAAGAAGACGCAGTGGATGCTCAAGGACAACATTGTCTGGTTCCACACACCGCAAAAGCACCTCGGGTACGTCTGAATCGTACTGCAGTCGACAGCTTCTTATCCCCTGCATCTAGCGCGTCGGACATTCCGTCGATGCGCTTGGTCGGTGAGACGCTGTCGTACGCGACCGAGCTGGACCGCATCGTCTAAGGCGTGGCTGCGTCGCGCCCTAATACATTCCTGGATCAATGGACGCTTCTGCATGCGAATGGCGACGAGCTGCATGTCGTAGTGAGTGCTAGGGTATGGTGCATGCACTTTTTTGGTCTCGGATCCACCATGGGTATGGTGGATCCGTCGACCAAAACAGTGCATGCGCCCAAACAGTGTTTACCAAACCACCGTGCAGTACAGTGGTTGCGCTAAGAATAGATGGACGCTCGCCGGTGGCAACGGCGGCAGAGTTGAGCATGCCACGTCCGACAACGAGCCCACGCAAGCAGGCGACGAGCCCACGCCGGCCGACGACGAGCCCGCGCGTGCAGGCGATGATCGACGCCATAGTGGCGGCGCCGCCGTCGCCATTGCCGCCTACGACATCGACGGTCATCGCCGTCGGCTTGCCGCCCGACATGGCGATCCATGTCGACGGCCACCGGCGCGTGCTAACGTCGTCGTCGTCGTCGCATGGCGAGAGCGTGCTTACGCATATGAACGCGGTCGATATCCGCGGCTTGTCGCTGCGCGAGCTCGAGTCTGTGCTGGCGCGGACACTGCACGTATCCCGGACGCTGCTGCTGGCGCCGCCGACGCGGGTCCTCACGATCCACGGC